GCTGGCTGGCATGTGGTGCTGGGGGATTGAACCGCGGTCCCTGTGCTTTGCTAAGCTTGTTCTAAGTAGGTGCTTTAGACCACTGAGCCATCTCACCAGCTCCAGAAAATTAAAGTCTTGATCTTTATTAAGCATTTCCTTTTCTAGTACAGTAAATGTGAATTCTTTTAAGACCAAGTGGCAAGCTGCAACCCAAAACACACTAACTTATTGCCAAGCGTCAACACTGTAAGCCTCAATACTGTGGTTTTAGTTTAGAAAAAAACCCATCTTAGACATTGACATCTTTTGTTTCTAAAGAAAAATACGATTTGCCAGGTGTGGTGGCACACACCTGTAATCCCAGCACTTGAGAGGCTCAGGAAGGAGGATTGCTGAAAGTTTGAGGCCAGCCTGGGTATAAATCAAGTTCAAAGTCAGCCTGAACTGTGTAGGGAAACCCTGTCTCAAAAAGACAAAAACAAAACAATTCAACATGCATGACACATGTTTGCCACTACTATTTCAGTAAAGATGCAGATACTCCTGGGAAAACCTTACTTTCATTTTGTGAACAAGGACAAAAATTACAGTTTTCTGTATAATGTCTATTTTCAGAAGAAAATTCTTAAATGTAATAGTATTTAATCAATGTCACAGGGTACAAAAAAAGTAAGCTTTTCTTAAGTCACCACACACATTCATAGACACTCTTTTCTTATTTTTAGTGGCATTGGGGATTGAGCTCAGGACCTTAGGCTTGCCAGGCAGGTGCTTATGTTGCTGAGCTATCTCTCCGGCCACAGGTAAGTTTTCCATTAATCTCATTTAGTACAGTAAGCTTTAAAATGATAATCAGGAACTTTTAAATATATAGTATATACATAATTCATGGATTCATTTGAATAAGAATAAAGAAATAATATCATATGGCTTCAGCAGTAAGTTACTCATATACCACTGCGTTTTCTAAAGGAAAATATTAGCTGAGGGCCAATCATAACATGTACTGAATTATCCAGTAAGTTCCAAGCTTTGCTTGAAAACATTGGAGATGAAAAGGAGGCAAAGGTAAGAAAGGGAATAAAAAGAATACAAAGTTCTAAGATACGTAAGGGTTGGACACTGACATATATACAAAACAAGTGTTTCTTTTCTTGCAAATGATTTGACTCTTCAAATTCTTTAAAACATACATACATACATACAAAAAACAATTATGCTTTAGGTTTAACAGCACAAGAACTGCTTACCTTGTAGATTATAAGCTGCCAACTGCACTGCTGTATCAAAGGGACATTCTAATCTAAGACCAAAACACAAAATTATTAAGTCAATTTCATAACCTTCATTTTAAGATACATAAAATAATACATACTTTGTTGGCCATTTCACTTTTATAATTATGAGCTTATTTTCACAATCATGTTTCAACCACTCTAGAAAATATGCAATTATTTGTTCAACAACTAACACTTACTTTCCACTGAGAATATCTTGTTTTAACTGAAGAACAAATAAATACCTAGGAAAAATAAAAGGAACACATGAATAATCCACTATGAAAAAAAATCTTAGTCTTATAATTTGAGGACTTTTTTTTTTTAACTATGTAATTTTATCCACAATAAAGTACACAAAGGAAAATATATGGAAAAGGAGACAATAAGCCTCTGGAGGATGAAAGTATGACCACAAGATAACAGCAAAGACGAGCTGGACACACTGTGCATTACAGCATACTTAAAAGAAAGTGCTTAAAGCATATTATTGAGAACAGGCTTTGTAATCTAACTTTACTCAGATGAAAACATCCTATTTATATGCTAGGAGACACTGCATGGATAGATTCTTGGACAAGAGCTATAAGCTCACTGTCAAAAGTGTCCAAGAGGGAACCTTATAAGGGAATTTTCTGACTCAACTTTCCCATTTAATGAAGACTATGTGTGCATGGAGCCATGCACATGTAATACAGAGTCAATGAATAAACATCACTTATTATTCCACTATGAAAATATTTAATAATCGACTTTGAAAAATATCATTTATTCATTGACACTGACAGAATAAAATAAAGTGTATACAACCTGAAGTTATGCCACAGCACTGAAACTGGCTGGGCGTGGTAGCACATGCTGTAATCCCAGCCATCAGGAGGCAGAGGCAGGAGGGCTGTTGCCAGTTTGAGATCAGCCTGGGTTACAGAGTGAGCTTTAAAGCCAGCCTGAACTGCATAGTGAGACAAAGCCCCCACCCCCAAACCAAAACAAAACCTACTGAAACCAAAGAAGGACGTAACATTTTCATTCACTGGGGGCATTTTAATGAGTCGAGTCAGGAATTAACTTGAATGAACACTCAGAGGCCAAAGAGATTACTGCATATCCATAAACATGATACTGCATGAAAAACAATAATCCTCCTCAAAAATCTATGGGCTGGGGCTGGGGAGATGGCTGGGGAGATGGGCTGGGGAGAAGGAGGGGACACAATGGAGGCAGGTCAAAGGTGCTATGGTCGCCATGACCCACCGTAACCAGAGCTCGCCCACCACAAGAATATGAAAAGGCAGAGTGACTCAGTTAAGGGGAAGCACAGAGACGACAGGCTTTCTGCTGCCTGCAAGCTGAGGGACTAGATTATGCAGCGGAAGCAGAAAGGGGAGAGGGGGAAGGAGAAACCCAAGCAGCTTCATGGCTTCTTGTCCAACCCTCTCGCCCTTCGCCTGTGTGCCTGGAGCCAGTCCCACCATGCTTGCGTTTCCTCACGTAGTGCTCACAGGTCCCAGCACTGAGGGCATTCCCTTTGCCCTGAGTCTGCAGCTGGCCCCCATTATGCTTCCTTCCCCCCAGGTAGCCTCTCCCTCCCTGGGCCACTCCTGGGGGTGAGGAGGTTACTTTACCTCAGTGCTTTTTATTCCTGTGGGGCAAACCCCAAAGTATTAAAAGCAGTTTTATAATTAAAACAAACAAACAAAAAAACCCCATAAAACAAACAAACTACAAAAGAAAGGGGCCGGGGAGACAGCTCAGTGGAATAAGTGCTTCCCTGGCTAGTGCAAGGGCCTGAGTTCAATCCCTGGTTCCGCAAAAAAAAAAAGAAAAAAAAAAAAGGATGGAGATGGAGCTCAGTGTAAACGCCCTGGGGTCAAACTCTAGAGCAAAAAATACAACATAATCACTATTCCCGAACAAAATTCACAGAGGTCTCACTATCAGGGGCAAGGAACTTATTTCACTATTGTCTACAAAACAAAAACAATCCTAAAATTAATTCCCAGCAAGACCAAAATAACCCTATACAACTCTAGATAGCAGTCTTACCGGGTTAGCTCTTCCCGAAGATTGTTTGGCTCTGAAGAATAAAATTTAACTCGAAGATGTAGGCAATAAGGTGAACCAACTGTCATGAAAAATAAAAGTTTAGTTTCTACTTAACTAATAATACTTTTCAGACAGTAAATCTGTTAAAAATCTGTAGAAGTGGGATAGAAGATAACAGGTTACTATGGCATTACTTCAGGTTAGATCACAACTTAAATGTTACATAAAATATCAGTAGATTTAAGAACACATACCAACCATTATACGGCATCACCATAAATGTCTGTCGCCTCAAGGACAGACAGCTCTAACAGTTCAGGGTAGAATGCATCAAATGCAAGTCTCGACTGTACAACTTACCATCCCTGAAAACCAGCTGAGCTGCATTTTCTTAGGCGCACCCAGGAAGGCTTGGATTATAGGTGGTCAAGAGCAATCCCTGCACGCACTCTCACACTCACCTCAGCTAACTGACTAGTCCCTCTGCTCTCAGCAGTCCTGTCCCAGCTCACTGTAAAGATACAGCTGAGGCGCCCTGACATTTGACACTACAGGGCAAAGTGAATTAGGGGCTGGACAGTAGTGTTCTTTTCTGATGGCTGTTAACAATAATACTAACAGTTGGTGCTGTTAAGTACTGTTATAGCTTTAAAGTCTGAAAATTATTTTCTAGAGCTAGATAAATGCCAAATAAAAGCCAAAGAAAAAAATTCCAACACAAATAATTACTAAATAAAAAGCCATTTTGGGAAAAGTGCATTCATCTGCAAGTTGTAAGGCTTTTTCCTATAAACTTTAAATTATAAGGCACTTGAATCTATGTTAGTATCAAATTTATATAACATGAACCAGCACATTAGAATGAAATGATTTTTAGAAAGCAGAGATGCTAAAATAATTCATCTAAAAATGAGTTTTAAAATGTCCTTATTCTCAAGAGCCAGTTTCTAATTCATTTGATTTCCATTTTCTCTACAAATAACTTTGATAACACTTACTTTTTACTTGCTTTTTGATGCTTTTTGTGCCATCCAACCAATGCTGAAAACAGACACAAAAAAGTTCAACAGGTAAGTAGATAAAACAACTTTAAAATTTTAATTGCTGAAAGGTTTTTTCATCATGCTTTTGTTGATAACCACAATGAAGTATTTCACAAGGGAAAAGTCAAAGGGAGTGAGTGAATGTCTATGAGAGGGAAGGTGGAGATCACTCCAACACTCATGTGACAACATACATAAAAGAACACTAAAATCTGTTATGTGACTTCTTAGAAACATTTTTCCTGTCCCTCTAGTACCAGGTGAATAGTCTAAATTTTGCCCTTCATTTTTCTCACTGCTCTCAAATGAAGGATTCTCAAAACTGTTAAAATTTAGAAAGTGCTAGAGATGTGGCTCAGTGGTAGAATGACTAACATGCCTGAGGACCAGGTTTTCACTGCCAGTGCTGTATATATATGCAAGCAAAATGTAAGAAATAAATAGGAAGTTTTTCTCCTATTCCAGTACCTGATTTCATTCTTGTATCAGAAATGTGAAATTTATGGACAGATTACAACCGTGAGAATTGGGTGAAGTAATGTAACAATATCACCTATATTTGAAGAAGCAGATACTATTCAGAATTAGTACTCTCTGAAAGAACAGAGTAAAGTTAGATTTTTCCTCATAACTAAGGCCTTCTTTATTAAATGAGGCACTCTTATTCCTTTGCTGATTACTACATAATCAACAGATTTCTGGTTTCCATAATGACAACCTTTTGATTTATACAACTTCATTATGAAATGCCCATGACAAAAACAGACCTAAAAACCAATTCCAAATAACTTTCACTTACATTCCCAGACCACTTTTCATTATTAATCCTTTTACACCACCAAGTCCTAACAGTGCCAGCACTCATCCAACAGAGATATACATGACTGAATTATCTTCAGAATGTTTTCAATTCCAAGGACTCTAGGGAAAGGAGTGCACTCGTGCTAACGAGTTCACAGAGCAAAGGAATCCAGTTTCAGAAATCCAGACAGGCAAACAGTAAACAAGGCTACATTGTTAATACGGTTTTAACAGTTTGCTTTCCTGCCAATTATTTGCCTAGCCTCTCCTCTCCATTCTCTCCCAGCATCCAAAATGAAACTCTCAGAACTACCAGCATGCCAGGAGAGTCACTTTCCACCGCGAAATAAGATGCTCAGTAAACATTTCAAAGAGCAATTAAATACCATGCAACATTTTCTCTGGATTCCAAATTGTGCATACTAATATTTAGCCATCTTTATCTTCTCAAAGATTCAGCTGGACATCCACGTGTAAGCATACCTCAACCTAGCAAATACTTGAACAGTCTCCATGTTAACAGGACACATAAGGCATACCAGCAGGTAGATCACAATTCAGTCTGTGAGTACAGAAGAACAGCAAATAGCTAATCCATCCCTTTCCTAAAAAGCCAAAACTTCCTAACTTATTCCCTGCCCCCAAAGTCTACTACAGCCTAACGACAATCACATACAGGGAGTGAGATAAAGCTAGCTTTCATGGTCTAGAATCTTCTCTCCCCAAAGGCCATGGACCTCAGAGTTGCCCTAGCTTCAGGTTTCATCTCTTACGATACAATAAAAAAAATAAGCCTCTGGGTGATCACATGAATTCTGTTTCATATAATCATGATTAAGGAGACTAATATACTATAATCAGTATACATAAACACTACTCCTCCAGGACTCAATCTGGTTAGACAAAAGATAATGCCTCAAAAACAACTATATGTACAGATTTAACTAGAAGGAATTACAGAAAGTTAAGATAATTTATATAGTTAATAACAATGAGCTGATTAAAATATTTAAATATGAGAGAATACAGCAACTAAAAATAAAAACTTATACTTAAGGGTGTGAAACACTTACAATGTACTGTTTTTTAAAAGGCAAGCTATAAAGTATAATTTTGTCAAAAGGCACAAGTTTGCATAACGCATTTTCTTTCATACACAGATAATTCATAACAAAACAGTAACAAAAATGGTATCTTTAGGTGATTGAGAATGCTGGTGATATTTTTTTTTCCTTGCGCCTTCCTGTATTTTCTACTTCAGTGGAATAAGCGCTTCCCTGGCAAGCGCAAGGGCCTGAGTTCAATCCCCGGTTCTGCTAAAAAAAGGGAGAAGACTCCTGTATTTTCTACTTAATCTACAATGAACATTTATTACTTAACACAAATAACTGCTCCTTTATTTTAATCTTTTATATAGGTAATAAGTTTATATGGCATAATATTATAGTAATAGTAAAAAGCATATAGTCAACCACCTCCCCTAAAATCAATATACCACATGTACTTCCCACAAGATACTACAGATGTCTTGCTAACTTGATAACTGCAAATGGAATAAAAAATTTAACATATGGGTGGTGAGTAAAAAGTAAAGAACATTAATGGTAGATTAAACAGATTAAATTCTGTGGAATATAAAATGGAATAATGAATATAAGACCGCTTATTAAATTTTTTTTGCGGTACCAGCGGTTAAACTCAGGACCCTACACTTGCCAGGCAGGTACTTATTCCACTGAGCTATCTCCCAGCCCTAAAATCTCTTTAATTATTTAACTGGTTAACACTATTTAGCACTAGTCTCATGAATTCATTAATATTACAATATAATTCACACCATACTGTCCCAAGAAGTACACTAAACAGAAAATCATTCCAGTGAGAAAAAGGCCCAGAAGTTGTCCTTCAGGCAAACAGTTTAGTCTCTTTTCTAACTATATGTAGCAGCTTCTAGTATCTGTACTCTAAAGACACTCAAAACTCAGATAAAGCAACAAACACATTTTAAAGTGAGATTCAGGAGCTGGGGAATTCTGGGTGGTATTCTTCTGGGGAAGGTCTGAGTTCATGTTTGCATATTCTCAAGTCTGTTTTCTTTCATCTCCTCCACATTCCAAGACCTGAGACTGGAAAATGCAGAGACAGGCACTGATAGTATTTTCCTAAAATCAGTGCCTTTAAGAGGTTGAGTTTAAATCACATGAGAAGATGAAGGACAGTGCATATACTGCACACACTATAGTGCTTAATATAAAACTAGTTAGGTTTGCACCATACTTCTAAAAGGAAACGAACTCCTAATTGCCCATTTTTAAAATTTAGTTGATATCAAAGTCTGAGAAAAGCCATACTTATTCCATTGTACTGAAGTGGGTTTGGAACAGCAATTATTTGTCTCTCTAAAATATGAATAGTACATAACCATAAATACAACTGACATAACTACATGAAACAAACAAAAAATCACCCAGGAAGTGTCCAAAACATCAACACACACCCTCATACCAGGTCCTCCAGTCAAATAGTCTGTAAACAGTTTTTCAATGATTCCTTCTTTTTTAAATACCTACATGGTTTACAAAAGAAATGCACCACTGACTCCTGCTCAAAGGGCAGAGTTTACAGCAGAGAAATGTTAACTATCTTTCAAAACAATTACTTCAGCAAAAAAATATTTCCTCTGTGAATACAGGCTTATGTCCTGAAATGAATTATTTTAAAATTTGCACAATTTTAGAAAATAGTATAAATCTTTGTTAAAATTCAGAGGACCAATACACTTTTTATCATGGTAATCTAATTTTAAATACTTCATTTTGGTCTAGATTACATTATAAATTCTTCCCAAGGCATTACTTTCTTGGAGTTAAAAGTATACTACTTGATATTTCAAAAGACAACACAGTCTGCCTCTTCCTGTAAGTTATCAATGTGTTTCTCTTAGGATGTAAACAGTCACACTTTAAAGTGGGCACAGTAGTGGCACAGATACGACGTTAGGACTCTGGGACACCGAGGCCAAAAGGATCCCAAATTAAAGCCCATTCCGTGGAATTTAGCAACTTAGTAAGACCTGTCTTAAAATCAAAAAGTAAAAAAGGACAGGGGATGCACCTCAGTGGGGTAAGCGGTGGGGATAGATCACGCTCCCAACGAAGACCAGGGATTGCTGATGCATGCCCTTTCTGGGGGGAAACATATGATCTACTCTACAGGTAGACTTTAAAAGGAGTTTACTACCAAAACTGCATGGTATTTCTCTAGGTTTTGGTAACCATTTTTATGTTTTCTATTTTATTATCTTCATGTACTATAAACTTTGTACAATATGATCTTGCTTTTTTTTTTTTTGCGGAACCGGGGATTGAAGTCAGGCCCTCTACTGAGCCATCTCCCTGGCCCCCATGGTCTCGCTTTTTGAACTGACAACTTCAAAACATGTTTTACTCTAAAAGAGCTAAGCACATTTCTAGAATTTGGTAAAAGTTTGCTATAACCTTAACTTATATGGTCCTGATTTATTTCCCACACTGTGGGAAAATAATATTTATTCACTCCTCCCCCCCTGAAATGAATGAACCCAGGGCCTTCATACTGAGCTGCATCCCCACCGCAAAACCAACCCCCTTTTTCCTTCAGAGATATTTTAAATTGCTAAAATGTCCAGGGTTGGCTTAGCTTGACTCAACCTTGTGCTCGTTCTTCCTCAGCCTCACAGAGTACTAGCACTATAAGCATGTACCATCACATTATCTGGCTTTCATTACTACTCTTGAGCAGAATCCTCTTGTGGCCTTCAGCCAGTATTTTTGTGCTGAGCTAGATGTGGTGGTGCATGCCTGTAACCCCAGCACTCAAAGCTGAGACAGGAAGATCACTGTGAGTTCGAGGCCAGCCTGGGTTACAAAGTTTGTTTAAGGCCAGCTTTAATTGCACAGTGAGACCTTCTCAAAAAAGAGCTGCTACCCGAGACCCATTCTTGTTTGGTTTTAGTGTCAGTCAACAATCAGCAATATACTACTTGCAAAGCTATCACAAAGCACAAAGGCCAGGAGGTAACATTATGCTCATGGAACAAAATACTAATGTGGCTCCTTAGGCAGGAAAACTAAGTTTTTCTCACTAACTTAGTAAGTTTCAGCACAGTCTGAGCTAAATAAGCAAGACCCTATCTCAAAAAAAGAAGCAAAATACCTAAATTTAAATCTAATCTCTAGATGTCAATTAACTACCACCCAAAACAACAACAAAAACATTCTTTACAAGAGTGTCTTCTGAGAGCTGTGTTAGGAAAGTATAGCTTCTTCCTGAAATTAATTATACAACAACATAAACATTGGGGCTGGTGAGATGGCTCAGTGGTCTAAAGCACCTACTTAGAACAAGCTTAGCAACGCACATGGACCACGGTTCAATCCCCCAGCACCACATGCCAGCCAGCCCGCCCCCTGGTGGGCTGAGCTGGCCACACACACACACACACACATAAATAAATAAAATAAATAAATAATTAAAAAACCCAACATAAACATAGTAAGTTATCTATATTCAGTGGCTGGGGAGATGGCTCATTGGAATAAGCGCTTCCCTGGCAAGCGCAAGGGCCTGGGTTCTATTTAATTGTAGAAGTTATTCATAACATAGCACTTTATAACAATAAACAACACTGTAGATAAAGCAAATATACTATTACTCTCATATAGTGATAATATATTTTAATTTTGGCAACACAATGAAAAAGCTTAAATCTCTTAGTGCCGACAACTTCATTTCACAGAAAAAATATGTATTTATTTGGTACAGAGTCTCACTACACAGCTCAGACTCCTAGTGATCCTGTTTCAGCCTCCCCAGCACTGAAATTACAGGCGTGCACCACCATGCCCAGTCTTGGCTCAGCGCACCAGGGGGTGGGGCTGGCAAAGCATGTGGTGCCTGAACCCGGTCCCTGCGCTTGCCTAAGCAGGCGCTTAATCCACTGAGTTATCTCACTAGACCTCCACAGAATATATTCTAGGAAAAAATTAAAAAATCCACAATATTGGATATAGCTCAGTAACACAGTGCCTGCCTGGCAAGTTTGAGATGCTGAGTACCCCTTCCCCAAAAATTCACAAAGATGATAAACTTCAGAATATTACTAGCCAGGGGCCAGAGAGATGGCTCAGTGGAATAAGTGCTTCCCTGGCAAGCGCAGGGGCCTGAGTTCAATCCCCAGTTCCGCCAAAAAAATAAATAAAGAATATTACTAGCCATAACTTGTAAACAATCATTATCAGTTAGCAAAAAGACCAGGGTGTCTAAGCAATTAAGTAGGCAAGTTATTCTTAGACTCAATTCTTTTTTTTTTTTTTTTTATTTGTGTGTGTGTGTGGCCAGCTCAACCCACCAGGGGGTGGGGCTGGCTGGCATGTGGAGCTGGGGCATTGAACCGTGGTCTCTGTGCTTTGCTAAGCTTGTTCTAAATAGGTGCTTTAGACCACTGAGCCATCTCACCAGCCCCTAGACTCAATTCTTTAACATTTTACACTTACCATGTTATTTACTCTGATATCTAATTCTAGCTTATAATCCAACTATGTGCCATCAGTGATAACTTCCCTTCTCATTTCAAACCATTGTGACTTTCATTTTCATAACTAAATTTACTGGCACTTCTATTACAAAATTAAATAGCAGAGGTGATGATGGCAACAATGTCAAAAATCCCAATATAAACAATTTTTTCATCTATTGCATGATTTGATTTTAATTTTTTTCCTTTTTTTTTTTTCATTTATTTTAAAGTAAAACCTAAATAACAATCTCCTGCCTCAGCCTTTTGAATAACTGGTATTACAGGTGTGCTCCATGCAAAAGGTCAAAGATTTAGATAGCTGAAAATCACATGATACAATAAATATATTAAGAATACAGTCTGGGCCAAAGGGAGGATTGCAGGGAGTTCAAGGCCAGCTCGACTATAGTGTGAGAACTTGTCTCAAAAACAAAAACCAAAAAACTAGAAATAGTCATTGGATAATGTTTAAAATCTGCCACTGCTTTAAATGTTTCATGGGCTGTTATATGACAGCTTATGATTTAAAATCTTATGGTTTTCTCATTTCTACCTTTTAACTTCTAGTGTTTTTGTATCTGTGTACTTACATATGCATAAGTTTATTAAAAATATTGAGTAACAAAAAAATAAAAAATACAGTTTGTAGGCTTGGCTGAGCACAGTGGTACACACTGATAATCCCTGGAAAGGCTGAAGCAGGAGGATCCCAAGATGAAGGCCAACCTGGGCAACTTAGTAAGACCCTATCTAAAAATAAATAATATGAAATGGACTGGGGATGGTAGCTCAATGTGAAGGTCCTGAGTTTAATACCCAGTACAGGGAAGGAAAAAACAAAAACATAGCCTTCTAGAACTTAGCATATCATCTGGAATTTTCTATTACTGTCCCATAAGTAACCTCTAAAGTTTACTCAATGCTTTGAGCTGTAGGGGACTCAGCTCAACAATTTCGGACATTGCCAGTGAAGTGGAAGACCCAATACTATTATGGACTATTGGACTCTTTTAGAATATTTTGCTGAGTTTACACACCTATAATATTCAAATAATGGAACTAAACAAAAAAAAGGGATACAGATGAATGTCCATTTTGTATCTGTATATTCAAAATGGTTAGGATAGATATATAGTTACATTCTCTTAATGGATAGAGGGATTTGTTCTAATAGTGTTTGTAAATAGGTTCTCATGTCCGCATCTTGTACAGCAATTATGCACTAGGAAGAATGTATGCAATGTGTTAATTATTGAAACTGTCCTACCAAAAAAAAAAAAATCAAAGAGGAAAGATCTTGTCTTTCAGTCCTTTAATTAGTCTAGTTTCTTATATACTTGGTCCTTTTTTTCTTTGTAATGTGGAATAAGGTGCTATTTAATTTTGTTCTTCCATAGCTAATATTTTTTATGTATATGCTTTAATGATTTTTTTTTTTCTTTACAATAAGTTTTGGACAATTTCTTTTTTTTTTTTAGTTACAGAGTTTTATTTGGGAAGTGGTTCCAGGACATATTTTCATACATTTTTCAAATTAATTAAGCTTGTTAGTACATAATGATCACATTCATCATAAGGAATTTGCACCTGTACATGTTACATCTTAATTCTTTTTCCCATTCCCCTGCTGTCTTCTTTTTTAATTTATTTTTTTGACATTTAATTTTAAAAATTTATTTGTTACAGTGTCTCAGTATACAGTTCAGAATCATAGCGATCCTCCTGTTTCAGCCTTTCCAACTCTAGGATTACAGAGGTGCACCGCCATGCTCGGTTTTGGGGCCAGCATGGAGTGCTGGCATTCTGGAACTGGCACGGCATGTGGTACGGGCAATCAAACCTGGGTCCTTGCACTTGCTGGGCAGGTGCTTAGACTGCTGAGCTGTCTCTCTGCTCCTCTCCTACTGTCTTTTAAATCCCTCTTCCCTTCCTTTTTTTTTTTCACTATGTTTTTTTAAATTTTTTTTTATTGAAAAATAAATATGAATGAGACAGTTTCACAGCTGATTAATAGGATAGTTTTGATAGTCAATACACTTTACATTGTTATCTTCTTAGTGGTTATCCATAGTACAAGGAGCAGACAGGACATTCTGTCCAAACACTGCTCCTTGTACTCTTCTTTCTTCTCATTGAATTAAGTGAAAGTAGCTGTAAATCCATCCTAACTATTTTGTATATATAAATACAAAATGATCTTTCCTTTGTATCCTTTTTTTTTGTCCTGTCAGAGGTGAATATTCTATTGGCATCTAGATACTATAGGTGTTTGACTTCAACTAAACAATCTAACACTGTCTAGCAGTCTATAATATTAGTTGGTTATCCTCAGAAGTTATTGACTTGAGCCTTTTACAGCCTGACAATTTCATTTTTGTGTATCTTGGTATGATTTTATTTAAATTTCTTGTGCAAAAGGTTCATTTTTCTTGGAAGTGCACTATTCTAAGTTGAACTAAATTCAGAAATTTTAAATCTTTAAATATTTACTGCCTACTCTTTCTACTTTGAGAATTCTAATTATATGAATTTAAGTTTCTTGGTTTTGACACAGTGAATTATTTTGACTGATCTGTAAATTCTTCATTTTTATTTTGGACAATTTTTATTATATTCATTTATGTTTGTAAATAACTTATTTTCAATTTGCAATCTATTAAAAATAAAACAAATGTAAAAAAAAAAATAAAATAAAGTTTACTCACTGCTACTTGTGCAGAATCCATAAATCTCAGACCAAAATAATCACTTTCAATAAGGTCCAGGTGGTACATAATCTGATCAAACAGCTCTTGTCCTTTGGCTTTTTTCTGAAATTGCAAGAAAATATGCAAATTAGTAAGAGGTTTATAGAACCAAGAGGCCTGAAACAAAAGACTGTAGTTAACAAGATCTCCTAAAACAGTACTTGCCACACCAAAAGTACTAGTATGTTGTAGATGATGAGTAAGATAATGTAATTTCCCAACAAACCATTTCAGAAAATGTGTGGTATGTTTTTGTACAGAGTATTACTTCCTATCAATCAACAAATAGTATCTATTTTATCTACTTTGAAGTACAAATATTTGCACTTAATGATGTGTGGGTACAGCAAAACAGTTGTTTTGTCTTCACAGGTTTTTGTTTATTTTGGTAACAGGGTTTTTAACTCAGGGCCTTATAAAATGCTAAGTACAAACTCTACTTCCAGTACTAGCTTCTCCAATTTTTAAGTCTTTCTACTTTCAAGAAGCTCCTAATGTAGCTGAAAAAAGATAAGACAAAGCACAAGAAACTTCTGAAGACTTAAGTACAAATTATGTAGAACTATCCTTGCAAACATTTTGAAAAGAAAAACATCAATGAAAGATTAATGGAAAAAAAAAAAGAAAGATTAATGGAGAAAAATCAGTCTTAAATTTAAGGGAAGACAGAAAAAGTTAGGGAAATAGGGAAATCTATTTTGGCAACACAAAAGACGCCAAAATAGTGTGACTAGTAGCAAAGAAACATACCAGGGGAAAAAGTAGTTCTTGAAGTGTGGTCTGAGGGCCACTGAGTATTCCCAAGACCCTCTAGAAAGGTCCACAAGTTTCTAAAATTCTCCTTACATACTTCAATCAAAAGAACATAGTCCAACAGAGTAGCAAGTAAGAGAATCCAAGTACTTTTCATTAAACCAGTGATGGTGAATCTTTTAGAAACCTAGTGCCACACAGCAACTCCAAAACTACTTACTTATGGCAAAGTGCCAACACTACAATTAAACCTCAATATTGAAGTTTTAGTTTAGAAAAACCTCATACATTAACAATTTTATCTTAAAAACAGAGTAACACACATACCACAGCTTTGCCTCCATTGTATTAAACCAAACATTAAAGAGGTATGCAAAATACAATGCCACTCTAAGTTGTCACTTTAGAAAATATTTTTCATGAAAGCATGTCACTATGTTAACATATAAGGGGCATGTTATTGTTATTTTATGAGTGAATTTTTTTTTTTTTTTTGCAGAACCAGGAATTGAACTCAGGCCCTTGCACTTGCCGGGGAAGCGCTTATTCCACTGAGCCATCTCCCCTGCCCTGTTACTGTTATTTTAAATTAACCAAGAGCTAACTTTATTTTTAAAAAAATTTTTAAATATTTTTATTTTTTAAGAGCTAACTTTAGCAACAGATGTAAATCACAGAGCAAAAGCATTGTTAGTATACTTATTTTCATATGTTCACTATCCATATGTCTCCTACTTGCATAATTCTAAATTGTGATTTTGTTACTTCCTATGAAGAGAATATTTTTGTCCTATTATTAATCTCTGCCTTTTAACTATCCTTAGGTGAGCCCTCCATCCAGTCCCCATCACGTTTTGCATACGTATTTCCCTGCATGGTTTAGACTGAAAAGGATTTCCAAGTCTCACACACTCAGAGGTGGGGCTCTGGAAGGTGACTGGATCGTGGAAGCCTGCCATAAAGGAGTTCAGAGCCACAAGTGCTGCTGGGAGGTGGCTCACTGGGGGGTAACCTGGAGGGTGAATCTCCCGCCCTGGCGACCCCCTTCTCTCTCCTGGCCTCAGTGACATGAGCAGCATTCCTCCTTAGCAGGCCCTTCCATCATACTATTTCTGTCTTGGAGCCTGCAGACACCAAAATAAATCTGTGGGTGCTGGGTACTGTGCCTCAGTGACGAGAAAGTGACCAAGACAGTTCCCCTGCTTCACCATTCTAATAACAAAAAGAAGTGTACTCTTGTCTTCCTGCTGTCCATACAGTTGCAAAATATAATCTCGACCTGAATTTTGTTACTTTATGTCATTTGTTCACATTTAAAGTTTTGTCTATTTCTGATAGTTTCAAGCTTCATTATTCTGGGTACAGATGTGATTTTTTTTTTCTTTATATGGTATCCGATATGGACTTTTTTTTTTTTTTTCCCATAATTTTATTGAGAAACAAATAGCAATGAGACAGTTTCAAACCAAATTGGTAGGACAGTTTCAATAATTAACACATCGCATACATTCTTCC